GTTTCACCAATCCATGTGGGAAGCTGCATCTGATCGTCAGTTTTATTTTCACCGACATCTTCACTAGTTGTTTGCTTGCAAAGGGGTAACAGGAAAAGCTAATGAACTTCCAACTATGACTCATAGTCTATGAGCAAGCACCGCAACAATGAGCTGCTATCGAAAAACAGACTATCGCGTAACTCGCACCGAAAAAAAAAACACACAGCTGCTTGTGTCAACAGCATCGAACGAAATGTTATGCTTTGATTAACCTGTTTTTGTGAATGGTAAAAATGTTAATTATATATTGGTTCAGTTCTTGGTAAATTCATTTTCAAATTTTTTTGCTAGCGAATGCAATTTGAAAATCGCTGTTTCCATGTTGTTGTGAAAGAATTGCACCACAAGCGACATATGACGCATCAGTGGTTAGAATAAAATCTTTAGTAAAACAGTCACATCCCCAGACTATCTGAAGCGAAATGTACAGCTAAGCTCTTTTATAACTTCGGAGCCGGTCGTCTCTCTCTGTTTTCCCGATAGTCATAGCAAGCGAACACGTGATTGGTTGATTGTGGCCTAAAAGTTTGATCAATTATCAGCTAAACATTAATTACTATAACCTTTATACCAAACAAATCTTACATCAATTTTGAATCAAAGGATGTGAAAAGAATTTAAATGCATCAATAACTGGAAAAGTTATAAGCGGTTAAAACCTAACACTATATCGATACTCATTTTTTTTATATTTTATATGTGAACAAATATTTCTACCATCTAAAGATCACTTGAATAAGTTGGCCGATGGTCAGGATATAAAAATATAGCTAATAGGTAGAGGAAGTATACATGTACACTAGTGTTGCGTTGAGAGAGAATACAAAATTTACCTGTTCACCATAAACATTTGGAAGGCTTTGATTGCTGGAAACAGAAACTTCGTTGAAATTCAGATCCTAGTTTCATGAATTGACCACATTACAAATATTCTGGATTTTCCGGTGGATCCCTCGGGGCCCCCGTATTCCAAATACATTCTGACAAGAGATCTACAATTATTTCCGAAAAGCCTGATGTTTTTTTTAGAAACGAGACATTGTTCCAACGTTGAGGTATAACCAGAGATGCAAAATATCATGACACTCACTCGACACTCGTGAACGCATCAACTGACTATCGCTGACAGAATGTAACAATCACCAGTAATGGTCAATGCTCACAGGCAAAACGTAACACTCGCTGCTGATGATGTAAAGCATAACGAAAACAGTGAAGACTTCTGCTGGGCGATGATGAGAAAAAGGGAAACGACAGAAGACAATGAAAACAATGCTTACGCATTCCTAATTCGACTTGGCACGCGTGACTGTGTGAGTTACAAACAAAGCTGGCAAAATTAAACGGAAACTGTTGGGCTCACTCACCAACACACTCACATAAGCAAGCAAAGCAACAACAGCTTCAAAACGAGCACAAATGAGTGTCGTGATTGTCGGGAATAACCAGAACGGTGATGGATCAACACAGAAGACAACATTCACCAGTTGCTTTTTACTTCTTTTGTCAAGCTGATGGATGGTCATGGAGAGTGCTTCGACAAGCACATTGATAGGAATGTACCAAGTGTTACTACCATCAGCTGTTTGACGATCGTGATTGTGATAGGTCGCAACTCTGGGTATAACACATCCCATGCAAAAGTAGCCGTTTCACCCCGCCACAAGTCAAGCTGTTACAGCTTATGTAATACCTCATAGTTTAAAGAAAGCTATTTTTCTCTGTAAGTACATCGAATGAAATTGTTTCGTAAAATCAACAATAAACTTCACATGATAAATATGATATAATAGTTCTAAAACATTAAATTCCGTAAACACAAAATAACAAGTGTCGGCCGCCGTCATACACAATGTTTGTTTTTGTTGTACATATTGACGTTTCACCTGTCATCAATCGAAAATGTGTATTCGTTTATTTTTTTCAAGAGTTGATTGTTTCAATGATCCAAAGGGTGTCCAACTTACCCTGTCATCCCCTACCGGAAATCCAGATTGCAACCAAATTTGTTCTTGGGCCAGAATAAGTTAATAAGTTCTAGTTTAAGTTGGCCAAGTTTGGTTAAAATTGGTCAAATGGCTCGGGGAAAAATTAAAATATTAAAAACTATTTTTATACAAAATCTGGTAAAGTTTGGGCTAAATTATCCTAAAATTCCCATTTTTTTCATTGGGTCTTATTGGCCTTTCGGAAAGAGCATGTAAAATAGAAATAAATCGTCGGTAGTGGGTACCATTTATTTACGGATTGATGTTTTTTTTTTTGTTTTTATTGGGACTTTCATTCATCTCTAATTTGAATTTTTAAAGTGTTACAAAGATTCCTGTTTCTATTGGACTTTTAATTTAACTTTAAATTATGTGTTCAACCATCAGTATAGTGATACTTATCAACGTACGGTATTTAATTATTTAAAACAAAACTAATCAAAATCCTTATGGCGATCATCTTACCCAAACTCCACGATAGTGAGTTTTCACCAATTATGAACAACTATTTGAGCAACTTGTTGTCTGAGAAATATATGAGCTTTTCTCATGGAAACTCGACAACTTCACGAATTAGTTACATGGGTCTCCCCCAGGGCTCATGTTTAAGCCCTCTTCTTTATAATTTTTATGTAAAAGACATTGATGGTTGTCTTGATGAAAATTGCTCGCTAAGGCAGCTTGCAGATGACGGCGTTGTGTCCGTTATAGGGCCAAGTGCACCGGACCTGCAAGGACCATTGCAAGATACCTTAGACAATTTGTCTACTTGGGCTATGAAGCTGGGTATCGAATTCTTTCTGGAGAAAACTGAGTTGGTTGTTTTTTCTAGGAAGCATCATCCTGCACAGTTACAGCTTCAACTAAAGGGTAGAACAATCACTCAAAGTATATCTTTCAAGTATTTAGGTGTCTGGTTCGATTCCAAATGCACATGGGGAAAACATATTGCGTATCTGAAACAAAAATGCCAACAAAGAATCAATTTTCTTCGTACAATTACCGGAACTTGGTGGGGAGCACACCCGTAAGATCTGATCAGGTTGTACCGAACAACTATCCTTTCGGTTTTAGAGTACGGCAGCTTTTGCTTCCAATCCGCAGCAAAAACACACATCCTTAAGCTGCAAAGGATTCAATACCGTTGCCTTCGTATTGCGCTAGGCTGTATGCACTCGACTCATACGATGAGCCTCGAAGTACTCGCGGGTGTTCTCCCACTGACAGATCGTTTCGCTGAGCTGTCTTTCCGGTTTCTCATCCGTTATGAAGTAATGAATCCTTTGGTAATAGAACACTTTGAGAAGCTGCTCGACCGAAATCCTCAAACAAGATTCATGAGTTTGTACTATGAGTACATGACGCTGGAGGTTGGTCCTTCTTTATTAATCTCCAATCGTGATTGCTTTCAAGCCTTCTATAGTTCCTTTGTAAATTTTGATCTGACCATGATGCAAGAAATCCATGGAATACCAGATCACCATCGGTCGATGGTTGTTCCCTCAATTTTGGCAATCAAGTACCACCATGATGCTTCCACTGGATTTGGTGTATTTATCAATTTCATAGCGCCTCTTATAAACTGCAGAAACCATGCTCAGTATACGTTGCGGAACTCGCAGCTATATTTTACGCATTAGAGCGAATTGCCTCACTACCTTATGACCATTATTTCATTTTTACGGATAGTCTTAGCTCATCGGAGGCTATTCGTTCAATGAGGCCGATGAAGCACTCCTCGTATTTCCTGTCTAAAATACGATCTAAACTGAGTGCTTTATCTAACTGCTCCTATACTATCACCTTAGCTTGGGTCCCATTCCGGGTAATGAGAAAGCGGACTCATTGGCTAAGGTGGGCGCTATGGAAGGCGATATTTTTGAGCGACAAATCGCCTTCAACGAATTTTTCTCCATTGCTCGTCAGCAAGTCCTCATCAGTTGGCAACAAAAATGGAATGATGGTGAATTTGGAAGATGGTTACATTCTATTCTCCCACAGGTGTCGAACCATGGTTCAAAGGGTTGGACATGAGCCGCGACTTTATACGCGTTATATCAAGGCTTATGTCCAATCGCTCCTCGTTAGACTCGCATTTCTATCGAATTGGGCTCTCAGGCAGCAATTTATGTGCGTGTGGCAGTGGTTATCACGATATCGAGCATGTTGTTTGGTCATGTACCTTACACCGTGTTGCCAGATCTGAGTTATCCATATCCCTCAGGGCCCGAGGAAAACAACCCGTGATACCCGTTAGAGATGTCTTGGCGAGCCGAGACCTCGACTATTTGAATTTAATTTATGTGTTTTTAAAACGGATCGATTTGAGGATTTAGTAGTTAGTGTCATCTTGTGTTCTCCCAAGTTGTTAGCTGCCCATCGGTGTACCCCCATGTTTGTCTTTTTCATCAGAGTGTCGCCTAGTTCGAGATCAAGAGCACATTGCTCTCCAAACCTTGTGTTCACAATCCCTACCCTGCCATCCATTTGTTACAATTTGTTACCCCTAACCACGAGATAGCCGAGGGTAATCGGCCCCGCTCTACTAACGTTAGTTTTAAGTAATTATGTTGTCTAAACAATGAATATCGGCCCCGCAAAGCTAGATCAAATGAGACTGGAAAAATAAACGAATTAATAAAAAAAATCATCTTACCCCATAATATTATAATAATAAGAATGTTTTCCGTCTCAGCTGATGCCGAAAACGCTAATTTGATTGTTCATATTCAAGCTCAATTGAATTTTTGTTCGATTGCGTCGTCTTCTTATCTCACTTTATTTTTATTGCCTTACTGTGGAATGTTGCTACCTACCTTTTAAATTATAGTAGTCATGAGTATAAATCGCAGCACAAATGACGTTGGCCTGGTGGAAGGCATTTCGGATTGTACTATTGCAGTAAAACAAACTTCAATTCTTCATTTGTATATGAATAATACTAGTCGGTATCTGCTTTATTCGTTTCTTCTTCCAGATGTGTTATTGACTTCGATTGTTGAAACATTTGCACTAGCTAGTATTGAATAACACTTTTCAATTTTGTATTTTTTTTTTCATACACTCTTCAAACAATTCACATTTTGTTAGTCAACGTGGAGAGAAATATACGTTTTGCTTTACATGATTTACAGGGTTGCTTTCACTCACATTGCTGTTAAAAAAGTTTTTCGAAATTATGTTATCATTGGATGTTATAATGATAGTTTGTACTTGTAAGTTACAAGAACAAAATATAATTATAACATCTAATGATTTCATAATGGATCGCATTATTCGAGCAGCTTGAAATAACATTTCCCACTACTCGAACTTTGTCGTGGGACAATACTTTCATATTTTTTCATCTAGAACCTCAGGAAAATAGTGTCATATTTATGCTAAGCTTGAAAAATCTAGAATCATTTTCTTGAAATCGCTGGTAGAAGGCCGTTCAAAAACTCCTCGAAAATATGATTAATTCCGAAAATAATTTGTTACAGCGAAGTGAATGAAAGCAACCCTGCATGGTTATACACTTTTTACATTGGTTGTCGATCTGGAGAGCTGGGCTCTGTTTACCCACCTTAACCAAACGGGAAACAGGAAAGCGACCCCAAAATCAAATTATACTGTCTTCGTAGAAAGATTCTCCTTTTATATATAAAATGCTACTATCTGCGGTAGGAAACCTAAAATTAAATTTACATTTCATTTTATTTTGACTCTTCCATTTTGCATTGTTGCGGAAAAGGGTTGCTTGCCTATTCGACTCTGCACTAGACCCGAGGTTCAGCTTGGCTGAACTCAAAGGAGCAGCTTTTCACCGACCGACACCGACGACGACGACGGATGCCGGCTTGTATTCAAACACAGAGATACATATTATATTTTTGCTCTCGTTTAACCTAATTTAGCTGACCGGAGAGTAGCCTCCTCCCGTTGCGTTGTTGCCCTTGTCCTCCGTTGCTGGCTGGAGGCAGCATCCGGCTCTTCGCTTTCACCTATTCACCAGGTAGGGGTTGGTCGTCCGCAGTGGAGAAAGATGCCTTATTTGCACTAGAAACAGCAGGAGCAACACCACCGGAAGTACCATAAACGGATGCTGATGGCTGCGGCAGTGTGCTACTGCACTGCCACTGCTAGAAGCGGATTTCACTTTGCCATCTTCCAGCTGACTCCGGTTGGCGTGCTGCATAGCGGCTGGCTTTTCGCCTAAAGATTGCCCGATTTTAGCCGAACGGTATAGAGAAAGGAAAAAAAAAGATGAAAATAGAAAGATAAGTGCTACGTAGTTTTCACTGTTGAAGGGAGGCAACTTAAATTTTATACGAAAATAATTTTCGAGGACGTGCTGCATGTTGCTGCAGTTGCTCCACCAACGGAGGTTTATGCATGGTTACTGAGTTAGGTCACTGGCTGGAGTGTGCTGAGAGACACTTGTAACTACCCATTTGAATCCATCTTTTTGATAAGTGCTTGCGGAAATGATTGTTAAGGGCATTCATGAATCTAGGAGTGGTAGGTTTGAAAAATTAAATGTATTGCCCAGATTTAAACGTAGAACCTTTTTGATCCTGTGGTAGCCGTTAAGTTTCATGAAGCTGTCGTCAAACTGCAATACTGTATGGTTGAAAGTTGGAATAAACATCCAAGCCATTATATCAACATTCCAGCTGTCGCGCTGTACAGTGGTTTAAGCAAAGATGAATACTAAGATGAAACTGTCGGAAGAAAAACTTTCTATTTTAGGCTGTGTTCCATTTGGCGAATTTTCACTTAAACTTGACAGATGGAAAATTTCCAAATTAACCTGCTATTCCAGCAGACTTATATCTGACAGACAAGGAATCAACTTTGACACACACCTTCTCGAAAATTGGCCGATCAACAACAGAGGGATTTTCGAACATTATAATTTAGTTTCGAAGTGTCAAATTTAAGTGAAAATTCGCCAAATGGAACACAGCCTTAGTGTCCTCTTTCACGGTCCCTTTCATCCAATGAATACCCCCCGTATTCAAGGTAATTTTGTGGTTTTGCTGCCCCCTCGACAGAGATGAAATTTTGCGCTCATTTTTATCAAAACAAACACACCAAAATCAGAGGTGTCCCATTTTTTAATTACTCGATTAACAACTAATCGATTTTTTTTTGTTCGCTGTGCTACCATATTTTCATCAATGAGAGTGCAGCACATGTTTGAAACGATCGGTGATGATCTCTGGAGAAGTTAATGCTTATATCGGCATGATATAACCGATTACAAATATTTTACTTTTCGGTTTATTAATCGATTAATCGATTATTCGAATGAAAATCGGCCATCACTAGATTAATGTGAAACGTCATTTCAAATATATGAACTGTACATAAATAATGATACAATTTGAAAGGGAACGGGGCTCATCACAAATTACGTCCTCACGGTAACTGAAATAAACACGAGTGTTCACCGGTTGGTTTAAGCCCGCAAAAACGTGATCGAGATGCAAAGAAATTAGAAATGATTTAAGCTGATTTTAAACATGTCTACACCGTTTGAAGAAAAAAAATCATGTAAATTTCTGCGATATCTAGCGCACACGTTGACGTTGACAACGTTGGATTTGGCGTAAATTTTCACGATATTTTATGCGAATTTATGCGCGATATCGTATGAATCATTCTATTGTTGATAGTGATGACAATTTTCACTTCATTGATGACAATCACCATTTGTCTATTATAAAGCCTGGTCCACTTAAAATCCGGACAATATTTTATTTATTCTATAGCAGTGCTTCTAGGGGTTGGATTTGAAATGTTTTGACAGCGATTTATTTTGAATGTAGACGTTTTTAAGTGGTGCAAGTTTCGTATCGATACGTGCAGTATTAAAAAAGTTGTACTAGATGGAAGATGAGAAAAGAAAATTGATCCTGCACAGCCACGTCGAAAAGCAAACGAAATATAGTGAAAAAGATGAAAACTGCCGTCTCTACCGTGGGAGATGTTCTCAAGCGGTTCTGTGACCGCAAGGGTATAAAAGGTTCAAAGCAAACGTCGTGCTGGAAATTTGGATCGACAGCTGAACAGATTCTCGGATCGGCATGTCGCCAAAAAATACGGTACCAGCGGTAGTACCGTCCGGAGGATCTGTCTGCGAGTAAGTTACTGTCTATTCCGTGTCTCCAAGCAACCGAATTGGACGAAGAGACAAAATCTAGTGGCCAGAACACGCGCCCGGAAGTTGTACGACCGGGTTCTGACGAAGTAATGCCATAGAGGTAACTCTAAGACTAGATGGTCCCGAAGAAACGTGCTCAACTTTTCGGCTCAGCTCTGGTTCTCTCTTCGGTCCCAAGCTAATCGATGCACCCCTGGAAGCATAGGAAAATCCACGAAACCCCCATTTCATCTGTCAAACTTTCATAGCGAATCAAAACAAACATAGTGCAGGACTACAATTTCGACTAGAATGGGGTAGGTTGATCGATTTGCTTGGGACCAATAGGCTAGTCAAGTAGTGAGCCAATTTAAAATCGTTAGTTTTTACCGGTTGGTAATGTCTTCTCATGGACGAGGAAATCTATGTCAAATATGGCAGGTTCCCGGACAAAAGTTTTATCTGGGTACAGCACTGGGTGATGTCCTCAGCAAATTAAAATTGCAGCCAATAAATTCACCAGGAAACTGATGATCTGGTAAGGAATTTGCAGCTGCAGACTCAAAACCAAGCTTTTCATCACCAACAAAGCCATGTGCAGGATCAATTTTCTTTTCTGGTCTTCCATATAGTACAACTTTTTTAATTGTGACGAAATTCCAGACGAAACTTTCACCACTGAAACACGTGTACTGTCTGAACAAATCGCTGTCATAAAATTCCTAATATTACCACTAGAGACGCTGCTATAGAATAAATAAAGTGTACGGATTCTAAATGGACCAGACTTTAATATGACCACTGCATGCCATGCAGGGTTTCTTAGACTTTTATTTGAGTTGTAAAATTTGGATATTTTTATGTCTCAGATAGATTTAAATTTTATCAAGTAACATAATCATAAATTGGCCCTTAAGTTGAATTTTAAAAGAAGAAATAATGAACTTTTAACCCATTTTAGAAACTTTTAACTTGATTTAATGGTGTTCTTGGATCATTTTTTGATATTTTTAATTAAGTGTAATCATTAAGACTGTGGAACTACAGTGAATATTTATGATTAATTTTGGGGTAAATATAAAAAAAAATTATGGTTAGAAATTCTTCATAAAAAAATCAAAAAATTTCTCAGACTATTCACAGAATTTTTTAGGAGTTCTTAGTGAAATTCCATATTATTTCTGAGGACTTCAAAAAGGTCTGAGAACCAAGGGTCGATGAACAAAAGGTTGAAGGACAAAAGGTCGAAGAAAAAAAGGTCGAAGAACAAAAGGGCGAATGACAAAAAAAATTGAAGAGTGAATGGTCGAATGGACAAAAGGTCGAAATAAACTTAGAAGGACAAAAAGTCGAACGACAAAAGGTCGAAGGAAAGAAATTCGAAGGAAAGAAATTCGAAGGACAAAAGGTCAAGGTGAAAGGACAAAAGGTTGAAGGACAAAAGGTCGAAGAACAAATGTTCGAAGGGTCGAACGGTCGATGAACAAAAGGTCAATGGACAAAAAGTTGAAGAATAAATGGTCGAATGGACAAAAGGTCGAATTAAACTGAGAAGGACAAATGGTCGAACGACAACAGGTCGAAGGAAAGAAAGTCGAAGGACAAAAGGTTGAAGGATAAAAGGTCGAAGACATAAGGACGAAGGACAAAAGGTCTAAGGACAAAAAGTTGAAGAATAAATGGTCGAATGGACAAAAGGAAGAATTAAACCTAGAGGGATAAAGGGTCGAAGGAATAAAAGGTCGAATTGAACTTAGAGGGACAAAAAGTTGAATGGACAAAAGGTCGTATGAACAAAAGGTTGAATTGAACTTAGAGGGACAAAAGATCGAATGGACAAAAGGTCGAGTGGACAAAATGTCAAATTTAACTTAGAGGGTCTATAGGTCGAATGCACAAATGTCGAATGGACAAAACTTCATAAAACCAACCTCAAAATTGACAAAATGTTTTAGACAATTTTTGCTAAGTGTTTAAAAGAACTTTAAAAAAATACTATGCAAATACTCCCCAAAAACTGGAACTGGAAATATTCTTGATAAGTTAGTTATGCCGATGGCATAGTGAGAGCGAAGAGAAGCAAAGAGGCAAGCAAAGCGTTGAATTGAAACTGTTTGGTACCTTAATTTTCCACAGAACTGCTCATGATTAAAAAGATTGAAAAATATTTGAGAGTAGTCACCCATTTTAAAAATCCAAAAATTTGAACAGTTTATATATTTCGACGTTTTGTTCATAACGACCATTTATCCAGTCGACCAATTGTCCATTTCGACATTTTGTTCATTAGACAATGTGTCCATCTAAGTTCAATTCGAACTTTTGAACATTTCGACCTTTTGACCCTTCGACAAAAACTATTTCAAACTTTTGTCCATTTTACCTTTTGTCCTACAGCCAATTGTAAGCGAAATCTAAGAAATGCTGGCTAATTCCTGGTGAATCTTAAGAATAATGCCAAGGCAATTCTGAAATGATTTCTATGTTAGTTTTAAAGAAAATTAAAAAAAAATGCTATTGAAGCTTAAAACTAATAGGCTCTTTTAATGCACCACCAACTAGAGGGAGCCGGGCGAGTTCAAGAGGAACCGCCATCAAACCGTTTGTTTACATCAATTGTTCAAAACGCAAATTAAAGCATTTTTCATTGAACATCTTTCATTCCATGTCTTTCAAATATCTTGGGGTCTGGTTCGATTCCAAATGCACCTGGAGATCCCACATTGAGTATCTGAGACGAAAATGCCAACAAAGGATCAATTTTCTCCGAACAATTACCGGAACGTGGTGGGGAGCTCATCCGCAAGATCTTCTAACGTTGTACCGGACAACGATTTTATCGGTTTTAGAGTACGGTAGTTTTTGCTTCCAGTCGGCGGCTAAAACTCACATCATCAAACTGGAACGGATCCAGTATCGTTGTCTTCGTATCGCGTTAGGATGCATGCACTCGACTCATACGATGAGTCTCGAAGTGTTGGCGGGCATGTTGCCACTATCGGATCGGTTTTCGGAATTGTCCCTCAGGCTCCTCACCCGTTGTGAAGTTATGAACCCACTGGTAATC